GCCATATTAATGCACTCTGCAGAGAGATTATTTTTAGTCATCAAATTCTTAACATGTCGGTGATGGAGTTCTACTTAGTTTTTTTTTTTTTTGTATTTGAAAAATCGAATCACAGCATGAGTTTCATCTGGGAGCCACATGTCTAGGGAAGTGATTATTTTGAACCCACGGGAATGGCCTACCAGAGCTGAAACAGACCCAGTTCATGGTTGTGCGCATCGCTAATAAGACATCATGCGCTCAACAAACCCACTGTGCTGCACACTGGGCGCCAACCTTGCGCATGTCTTCCTGGATGACTCTGGTGAATGCAACTTGCAGTGTGAGGGAGTTTTTAGCCTTTGGAAATAAGGAAGAGGAACTTGGTAAATGTTGTTAATTTTGAGGGATTTTTGGGGCCATGATATACAGCTACAAGAAAACAGAACCATAGAAAAGTTTTAGAAATATGCCACCCATGTCAATATGGTTGTAAAAAGAAATTAGATTAAATTTCTTCAGGAGTGGAAGTAACTGATTCTCAACACAAATTGCTTGGTATGGTGCTTTGATGATAAAAAGAATTAAAACTGGACAATGGAGACAAAACGCTAGTGTCCCCTGTAATTGTCACCCAGTAAATAATTGTCATGTGGCCCTTAATGCATGGCCCGGCTTAACTCTGCTTTTGTGCTTTATTTACGCCCATTTGGTTAAATGTTGGCTTCCTCAGAAAAACGCCGTTCCCAATGGCGAAAGCTTAGAATGGAATTGGAAGACCTGGATCTTGGTGTTTGAGACTTCTGTTTGACTTTGAATATGTCACCATATGTCTCCTAGACTCCATGTATTTTGAGTAATTTGTCTATGGAAACATAATTGGCCTGTGGACTAGCGTGTTTATTCCACAGAGCAAGCCTTTTCAAGAGAAATGGGCCCTGCAATACCTCAGAAAGAAGCTCACTGCAGGTCCACAAGGTCATCTTTCTGAAGATGTTCATAGTTTGCATCTTTGGGGGATGAAAGATGAATGATAGTTTAAATTTTATTTTAGGTGTGTGTGTGTGTGTGTGTGTGTGTTTACACGCATGCATACCCACGTACATATGGAGGTCAGGGTGTCTTCCTCTACCTCTCTACCATAATTTTTGGGTCGGGGTCTCTCCCTGAACTGGGAACTTGTTGATTCAGCTAAATTGTCAGCAAGCCCTAGGAATCCTTGCAGAGATCCTCTTGTGTGAAGGGATCCTTCTGGCCCTGGGATCACTAGCTTGCACCACCAGGCCTGGCCTGCCTTCGTTCCTTCATTCCTTCATTCCTTTTTTTCTTTCTTCTTAAAGCTATTAAGCTTGAATTATTTATTACTTTAATTTTTAAGATTACAGTTTAATTATAACGTTTCTCCCTTCCCTTTCCTCTCTCCAGATCTCTCTCATATACTCTTTCCTATTCTCCTTCAGGTACATAGCCTCTTTTCACTAATTGTTATTGCATGTATATGTTCCTAAATATAACCTGTTGAATTTGTATAATGTTACTTGTACATATGCTTTCATGGCTGACTGATTGGCACTGGGGCAAGAGCACCTCTTCCGCTGCCAACTTTCCTCAGTTGCCTATAGTTCTTTGTGTAGGATTGAGCATGCCTGACTTTTTACACAGATGCAGAGGACCCACAGGTAGGTCTACACGGCAGGCGTTTCACTGACTGAACTATCTCCCTGGTGCAAGGCAGAAGATATTTATCATAAGATACTCTGCAGCAGAGGTGGGAGGAACTGAAGCATAAGAACACTATGGATGCACACTTAAGACAGACATAGTGGTGCATGCTGGTAATCCCCAGAGCCCAGAAGGCTGAGGCATGAATGAAGACCATGAATTATAAGTCAGATTGGCCACATGGTGAGTCTCACATATAAACTCATGGTCTTGATTAAATAACGGAGACACAGAACAATGCCATATGGGACAATTAAAATCCCAGTCATGGAAACAACCCATGTATTCCTCAAATATAACACCTGTCTGAGGACAGATGCTAAACATACTAGAAAAGATACCTGGGAGGGGAAGACTGGAAACCACAGTGATATGGCATAGGACTGTGGTGTCATCCAGGCTCAATAATGAGAATGTGGCATGAGCATCTCCAGTCTTAGGAGGAGCAAACCTTGACACCCCTCATTGCCCTGAGCTGGGATTAAGTCACTCACCATGGTTGCTACCATGGGCTTCTTAGCAAATTGTGCTTTGGGGTTCCTGAGTTTTCCTGTGCTCTGTCTAGTAATACCAGTGGTGAAACTTAATGTCTTCATATAGTCTGCAAATATTCATTTGTCCTTTAGGTTTTGCTAGTTAAATTGAAGTATTAAATGTGAACATGATGAATTCTAAAACCGCATGAAAATTAATATTATTTCTTACAAAAGAGTCTGGCTGTTCTGCCAATGTTAAAACACACACTGTGTGTTTGTGTGTGTGTGTGTGTGTGTGTGTGTGTGTGTGTGTGAGAGAGAGAGAGAGAGAGAGACAGAGAGAGAGAGAGAGAGGGAGGGAGGGAGAGAGACAGAGAGACAGAGAGGAGGGGAGGCAGGGAGGGAGGCAGGGAGAGACACATAGATAAGATGTGCTCAAAGATCACCCAAACTTTGCATTGTTTTCAGATCTATCCCTAGGTTATCTCATTGTTGCCTACCCTCCAACCTCCACCCTCCTCTAATTCTACTCTCTACATTTCCCAGTGTTCCAGCCTATGTAACAATCCTTTCTTGGGGACCCAATCACTAGAGCATCTTCCTCCAACTGCTCTACTGAAGAGAAATCTGAACACTCACTACTGCTATGGTTTGAATCTTAAATGTCCCCCACAGGCTCACGTTCTGTTGGTTTCCTAGCTGTAGAATTTTGGGAGGGCAGCTGGGGAGCCTTTAGGAGCTGAGGCTGAGATGGCAGAAGTAGGTCACTAGGGACAAGCCTTTGATGAAGCTGCTTCCTAGTCTACTCTGATGTGGGTAGTTACGGCTTTACCTCTGCCATCACAGATGGAGCTGCTTGACCACACTTTCTCTGCTGTGATGGACTGGCCCCCTTGAACTGGAGCCAAAATAAGTCTTTCTTAAGTTATCTGTACCAGATATTTTGGTCACAGATCGGCAAACGCAACCAATACAGCATGTTGCTAACAAGGTTGGGTTGGTTTCTCTGATTAACCCTGGCTGTATGGCTCTTAGGCCTTGGGAGCTAGTTTGAAGGAGGGATGTGGGAGGGTTTGTGGATGTGAGATAGAGAAGCCCTGGGATGCTGCAAGCAGAGGTTAATGGGACATTATGATTGGAATTTGGAAGACCAGAATGTCGACACATGGGCCGTGAAGACTGTGCTCATGAGGTTTCAGATGGGAACAAGAGTAAACGTGCCAGATTCTTTATAACCTTTTTCCCCTTGTAATTTGCTCACTTGGTTGTGTCTGTTCACATGCCTATTTATAAATGTATCTGTTTTTATACCCAGCTATGGGCTCTGAGAAAGAAACGACCATGCTCCTAACTTTTCACAATTTTGTCTAATTTTCATAATTTCCTAATTTTAACACAAAGCTTTGATATCCTGTTTGGGTAGCTTTTTCTTTTTCTTTTCCAATGATTTTTAGGCTGGTTCTGAAGATCAGCTTACATTTACAAAGTTTTGAAAAAGATCAAATTTCTAGATCATGTTGTCATAAGAGCTTAAATTCTGCACAACAGAAAACAATTTGGACAAATTGTGACAAGGTCATGTACTTAGGTTGGTGTGTTATCCAACGTACACAATGTTCGGTCCTTTTTGTATGACAGTGGCATAAAGGACTTAAGCGAGATAAGGCCCCCAAAACTTGGGCTACCCCAGTTATTTTGCTGGAACAGGTAGAACAGATAGACTGTGATCCTTTGGAGACAGACCCTGGGTCCTGCTGACCTTCTTTGCAGTCACTGACAGAACACACAACATATAGGGGATACCTAACCAAAACGCTAAATGATGGATTAAATTGGAGGAGAGGAAGAGCAATGAGATCAGTTCTTTTATATGACTCATAAATTGGCTCAGAAGATGCTCAGCTGAAGAGCTCAAAAAAAAAAAAAAAGCAGCATTGTTGACCTAAGTGTGTGGTCACATTTAGCTGTACAAGTGGCACTGCTATCTATCAAGTCACCGTCTTCCAGAGACTCAAGCTAGAAACTTTAAAAGCTCACATGAGTCACCCACTCTATTCTCTTCCTCATCTAAGCAGTCATTAGAACTCCGGCTAGGTTTACATCAGCAACAGCCTCGGTTCCCATTGCCTTACTGTCTAATTTTCAGAGCACAGCTACTGGCCTTTCCCCTCTGCAATCGATGCTCCCCCCCAACGCATAAAATATTTCTCCTGTAGCTAATATATTTGACAAGATGGACATGAGAGGACTCAAGCAGAAAGCCATCTGTTCATCTTACGACAGTCCTTTGTGTGTGGGGAGGGTTGGGGGCCACCTGTACACATGTTTACGTGTGTGGAGGCCAGAGGTCAGTATCAAGTGTCTTTCTCAGTTTCTCTCCACCTTATTTTTTTGGGACAGGCTCTCTCACTGACCCTGGAGGTCTCCCATTTGGCTCGATTTTTTTGGGGGGGGCACCAAGCCCCAGGGATCTGTCTGTGCCTTCCCAGTACTGGAACCACAAGTAAGTGCACAGTGCCACACTTGGCTTTTCTCTGGAGGCTGGGGATGTGAACTCGGCTCCTCTTGTTGTGTAGCAGGCGCTTTACCAGCCAACCGAGTCAGCTCTCCAGCTTCCTTAAAATGCTCTTACAAACCTTTCTTCCCTACTCTTGGTTTTCTTACTACCTTCAGGTGTTAAAAAGTTAAATCTGATCCAGTGCCAACACTTTGTTACCCAAACGAAGTACTTTTCTCCATTAGTGTGGACCACATCCAGACTTAGAAGTGTGTGAAGAAGGAGGCCATGATCATTTTCTTCTCTCTGTTTTGCCTCCTCTGCAGGACAGACAGAATCTGGACTTCAGTGGCTCATGCCTTTGTAATCCCACAGCCCTTGGTGAGTAGCAGGTCTACAGCAGTTTCTCTAGTTTTAAGGATGTAAAGACCCTTCCCCTGTTGGACCTCCCTTCATAGCAGTCCCCAGGTGGACAACAGTCACTTTACTTAGACTTAGCATTTCCTGCTTGTTAATGCGGATGCCAGCAGCCCCTTCTCACATAGTGCTTCCTGTGTGGGGTCATCTAGAAGGGCCCCTTCGGAGGGTCCACAAGATGGCTGGCATCCAGTTCCCTTCTAGGTGCTACCTGCCGTTAGCCTCCTATGGCTTATATAAGTTCATTGTGCTCTGTTAGGACCCCCAGGATCTACTTTCCTGCCTGAAACACCTCCAGCCAGCTTTTCGCTGCAGACATTTTTTTTTCTGGTGAGGTCTGAAGGTAGTAGATGAGTCCCTGCTTAACTTTTCTCTTACAAGCCTGGAGCTCTGGCAGCTCTGATCATGGCAGTGCCGGCTCAGCTGCTCTGGAGGTCCTGCCTAGGCAGTCTTGTACCCCATTTAGGATGTGGGAGGTGGGGGTGGGGGAGAGCACTTAAACCTATTGTTTTCAGCTTTGGAGCTTGGGCCAAAACTCCCAAGAAAGGAAGAGGCCTATTTTAACACACTGCTACATTCCTTTAAAAACATCAGATACTGTTGTGTTTTAATTAACTGTTCCAAGTTTACAATGTCTGATTTTTTTTTTTGAAGTTCAGACTCAGAACAGACATCTGAAGTGATCACTGGACCTTGATCACTCTGCAAATTGAGAAATAAAAGCCCGGGGAAGTTAATTAACTTAGGGAAGATTGCACACCTAACAGTACTGGAAAGAGCTTGGTCTGAAATCTTTGCCCTTCAAATTTCACGGTTTCCCTACCATGTTTTGTTGTGATATTTTGTTTATGATCTAACAAATAAAGCTTGGCCCGAGGAACAGAGTGCAGAGCTAGCCACACTAGTTAGCTATAGAGGGGAGGCAGTGGTGGCACACACCTTTAATCTCAACACTCTGGAGACAGAGGCAGATGGATGTCTGTGAGTTCAAGACCATGCTGGGCCACATGAAATTGATTCAGTCTAAAAGAGAAGCAGAGCTCACACAAAGGTAATCTCAGCACATGAGGTCACACACCTTTAATCCCAGCGCTAGGGGGGTGGAGGCAGGAGTGATATGGCTGGGAAGAAGGAGGAATATAAGGTGGGAGGAGACAGGAGCTCAGTGCAGTCTGAGGATGCAGTCTGAGGCAGCAGTCTGTGGATGCAGTCTGAGATGCAGTCTGAGGATGCAGTCTGAGGCAGCAGTCTGAGGACAGATCTCCCTTCGGTCTGAGGACTCAGTAGAAGTAGTAAGAGGTCCTGCACTTCTCTGATCCTTCAGCTTTCACTCCCTGATAGCAGACTCTGAATTTTTATTATTAAGACCAATTAAAATTCATGTCACACATTTTCCTGCCTAAAATACTTCTCCTTAAAGGAGATGTGATATATTTGTTCCTGAAGTAAAGCTACATGTGTGAGAGGATCAAATGGAAAGCACACAGAGATGTTTAATAATTATAAAAATTTCCCTGACTTGGATGGTGGAATTATGAATGATTTTAATTTGAAGGTTTTTCTGTATTTCACATACTTCTATGATCAAACATTTCTTATAAGGAAACAAAATCTTTAAAATTATTTTTTTGGGCTGGGTTCATGACTCATAGTTAAAATGTTTGCCATATAATCATATGGACCGGAGTTCAACTCCCCAGAACCCATATATAATGCCAGGTGAGCACAGTAGACCATGAGTAATTCTAGCCTTGGAAGGTGGAGACAGGGGATCCCTAGAGTAAGTTGATTAACAAGATTAGACATATCAGTGAGCTCCGGGTTTGATTAAAAGACCTTGCTTCAGTGAATAGAGTGGAAGAATGATCAAGAATGGTTCCCAACATCAACCTATAGTTATCACATTTACATGCACACATGTACACACACACACACACACACACACACACAGAGAGAGAGAGAGAGAGAGAGAGAGAGAGAGAGAGAGAGAGAGAGAGAGAAAGCCCATCCATACAAGTATGCACATACATCACACACACATGGAAATGGAAAAAATATTCTTAACACCAGATGCACATGGCTGTAATTGTGAGTTGTGGGCAAGAGGATCAGGAATTCAAGGTTATCCTTATCTACATGGTGAGTTTGAGACCAGCCTTGGCTACAAAAAGACTCTGCCACATCCCCCCGCCAAAAAATCTTTTTAGAAAAGTAATTCTTTAAAAATGTAGGTATCTAATATAGGGAGTTATGATTCCACACATGGGCTCAATCCCCAGAATTGCAAAATAAATAAACAAATAAATAAATGTTAAAAAATCTATATCAATGAAAACTACAACTCCACTGGAATATAGTAAGCCCTGAATCCTAGTCTTGATTTATAGCTGACCTTATGTTGGTCATCTGATCTCTTTGGGAATTCATGTTTTTCATGTGTAACTCGGGAGCCTACAATAAATAAAATTAAGTGCTTTCCTATTCTGAGAATAAAAATTCTTCCTTCCAAGCCTTTCAAGTGGACAGGAGACACAGTTTAGTGACAGAGCACCTGCTTATCATACACAAGGCCCCCAGAGCTGTGGTGGTTGACAGGATGCTCATGGAGCAATCAGGAGAACTATGAACAGTTTCAATGTCTCACACCTCATGTAAATTTAGTATGGTAAAGGGCTGTGGCTTATTCTCCAATGTGAACCTCCAAGTAAATGAAATAGATCAGCCTCACCAGTTTATCCAAGAAAGGCACGTCTGCAGATTTGCCTCCAGTCTCCACTAGTGAAAACCTGCCGCTTGCATTAGTCTCCTTGACTACTTGAGCCCTCGTCAATCCCGTTTCATTTCTGCACACGGAACCCATGCTCTTCTGACTGCACACTGTGATTCTTTGCATACTTGATTTCCTTCTCCAGGGCATTTGCCTGCAGTCTGCAACTATACTTGCTGTCTGCATTCCCCATACTCTTGTTGAACATAACCCAAGCACTTGAGGGGGCTCCACACATGCTTTTTAGTGACAAGTATTGTCAGAAGGAGGGTGAGAGGTCCAGTTAAAGACTTGAAACCCTGCCGAATAGGCTGAGACCAGAGCTCGGTAACAGTGTTTACCTAGCATGCAGGAGACCCTGAATTTGATTCCTCAGAACCACAAAACACCAGTAGAAGTCCCTAGTTGTCTCTGGAACAGGGTGCCCTTGATAACCTATCGGCTCAAATAGATGATGAAATCGATTCCTTTTCCTCCAACTCCCTTGGGTCTCTCCCCAACCTGGCCCTGGGTGAGGCTGACTCTGGGTTGCATTTCTGTTGCTATCACTTCCTGGAACTGAACTCACTGTTTGAACCTCTCCTGGAAAAAGGATCATGAATCTCTCCTTACATGCTGGCTCCAGCACACCTTCCTCGGGCCAGGCTGGGGTTGTGAAGTCGGCCAGAGTATAACTGGGGTATACACCGGGCCTCTTGGCTGAGAAGCTCCAAACAGTCCCTGTTGCTTTTCTGCCCCGCCCCCCCCCCCCCCCAAGAAACAAGGGAGAAAGGAGCAAGCGTTGGTTGCCTTTCCTGCAGCTCTGTTTGGCAGGTCTCATCTGCCCCCTTCACCCCCTCCCCCCGGCCCCCCTCCCCTCCCCCCTGTCCACATTCTCCTCTCTGTGGCCAGCATCCCTGTGGGTTAGTCCCCTTGCCTTCTGCCCACCCGGCTCTAGCCCTTTCTCACCCACCTTTCTGGTTCTGGTAATTTCTTTTTTCTCTTCTCAGAGAACAGACAGGGAACAGGGGTGGTTGTCATTCTTGCGACTCTGGTGGAAGATGGGTGTTTTCTATACATCCCCCCATTTGAGACCTGGGTTATTATAACCTTAAAGCGTGGGGAACAGAAGGCTTACATCAAGTCACTCGTTTAGAAGTGCAGGGTCTTGACAGGAATATCCCTCAGAAATAGCCTGGAAAGGCTGGTGCTGGCTACAATAGTAGGAAGCAGCCAAAGCCCCCAAAGTAGGCCACACATGCCTCCCCGCACCGTTCTGATGCTCCCGCCAGCCTCTCCTGCCACAGTGCCTCAAGCCGCACATCTAAAGTGAAATGTGGGTGTTTTAATCACCGAAGAGAATCCTTAATAGTGCTCCTCCAGCACACGGCTGCCTCTCCAGTGCCAGGAACTGCAGGGAGCCTATTGCTTCGTCCTGAACCGGCTCCAGAAGCGTTAGGTGAGGCTCAGTACAATTTTCAGTTGTTATCATACGAGGCCCTTAGAGACGCTTCTCAATTCTAGCAATTAGCCACATAGGGGTCAACCAAGTGTTCTCAGCTCTAATTAACAGCTGTGTTGAATCTGGGACACATGCAATTCCTCTGGGCATAGACTCCTCAAACAGAAACAAAACTAGAGTACCAGGCTCTCTCTTCCTTATCAGAGTTCATGAAGTCTGAAAATTATTGCTCAGGGTATTTGCAATAAAAAAAAAAAAAGAAACCTCAGCAAACAGAAAGCAGAGGGACTTCTGGGTGGAGTGCATGGTTTTTTAAGGATATATATATATAATTTCTGCTTTATTCTGAAATTACCCAATGGGCTCAGGGGACTCCGAGAGAGCTGGGGGAATTAGTTACCTCTCAGCTCTGCGCCCAGAGCCCAGCTACACCCAGCAGGCTACATGATATCATCACCACACAAATCAAAGGCTTCTCTCTGGCTTCAAAAGGACCGGGAACAGGATACTTTGTGTTGGGAGTTCTGCACTAAGCGGGAACTACACTGGTGCCTGTTCGAGTTGCTCCCTGGGTATTCTGGCTTCATGCCCTGCCTGACAGCTGCAGGGGTCCTGTAAGAAATCTGGGGGAGAATATCTTCTGCAGCCGCAGCCGTGACTGAGAACCCGGGATCAAGAGCTTTGCAGACAGAAAAGACATTACTCCCCTCCTCCAACTAGTTTGTTAGGCTCAACAAACAACAGACAAAATGCCAG